TTGAAAGAAATATAATGATGGTTGTAACCATCTTTGTCAGTTTCTATACTGTGACATAGAAGCACAGTAGCAGGAAATTGGACTAAGATGCTTAAGAGTATCAGTGAAGAAGCTGGGGGATACAGTGGTGGGCACTGGGGACGAAGTTCTAGAATCACATTCAGGAGCAGAGATTTCAAGAACAAGACAATTCAGAATCACAGAAGAAAATAAGCTCTATAAAGGGCTCTAGAGTACTGGGATAAGAGAAGTCTGTCTCTGAAAGGGAGTACATGCCTAAGTGTATGAAATATTGACAGATTTAATGTTCGGTCTTTCAGATTTTATCTTCATTTTGGAAAGCTCCATGACAGAGGGAAGACAGATGATGCATGTATGACCATTTTCCATTTAGGAAACGGGCTTAAGTGACTAGTAGCATAGTTTCTATCTGATGTAATTGTTTTGTTCATACTTAGTACAAAATGTCCTTGCCTACTTTCTGTCTCATTAATTTCAGCATTTGAGTTTTTACTCCTCTACTATCAATTGTTGTAAACCGATGTTTCCTGTCCCAACTGCCCAGTCCCAAATAACCAACTCAGAGACTGAATATGAACTATAAATGCTCAGTTGATAGCTCATGCTTGTTGCTAGCTCTTCTATTTAAATTAGCACATTTCTATTGTTCTATGTATTGTCTTATGACTTGTGGCTTTACCTGTCCTCTAGCATGTCTTGCTTCCTGGACAGCTGGCTCATGGCTCTCTTGACTCTGCCCTCCTTCTTCCCATCATTCTCAGTTTGGCTTCCCCACCTAACTTCCTGCCCAGCTACCAGTTTGTCAGCTTTTTATTAACCAATTAGAACATAATTTACACAATGTACAAGAATATTCCACAGTATTTCTCCTTTTTTCTAATTAAAAGGAAGGTTTTAATATTAACATAGTGAAACTATATATAACAAAGCAGTTATTATGAATTACAGTTACATGCCGGGTGGTGGTGGCCCACGCTTTTAATCCCAGAACTCGGGAGGCTGAGGCAGGCGGATCTCTGTGAGTTTGAGACCAGCTTGGTCTACAAGAGCTAGTTCCAGGACAGCCTCCAAAGCCACAGAGAAACCCTGTCAGAAAAACAAAACAAAACAAAACAACAACAACAACAAAAAAGAATTACAGTTACAATATCCAGTTCATTTGTATTTGACAAATTTAGAGAAAATACTTGATTATCTGTCTTGGTGAGTATCAAGTTTTATAACTAATTTGTTTTCTATCATAACTAAGGAAAACTGTATGTTTTACTATTTAGTCTTTAATTCCATCAAAGACCCCAGAAGGATGAAATGTTACCCAATGACAGGGACATCAGACTGGACAGTCACCCAAAGTTCCTCTGTAGCATTGGGTCATCCAACTTTGGTCTACAGACCTAGCATATCTGAAAGACTTTTCTGTGAAGTAGGGGATTTTGAAGGACTGTCTTACCTTGCCTTGGTAGAATTTGTCAGTTGCATTTTTTGTGTCCGGCTGGTCCAGTTTGGACAGTAACTGTCAGCATTGAGGAAAGGGCTGCAGCATCCTTGTGGAGGCCAGAGGAAATTTAAGGGAGTTGATTCCCTCCTCCTGTCATGTGGGTTCCAGGAATTAAAGTCAGGTTTATCAGATTTGGTCATAAGGGCATTTAATCACAGAACACTTCACTGGTCACCTTTAAATGTTCTTGACAAATGTTGTCTGTACACTTTTAGAGTTCTAAACGACTTTTTTTTTAAAGGAAAGTTTTCAAAATACCAGGGTAGACACACAGGTGAAAAGAACCATACCTCTCTGAGAACAAGGTCAGCTGTGCCTTTTCTTGCTTACTGATAATAAGCTTCATGTAGTCTTAAGTGCTTGCCTGATTGCCATAACTTTTGACTGGTTTCCAGGGTTCAAATAAAGTTGATTTTAACAGTTTTGCCAGGCTATTCACAGTTTCTGTGGTGGGGCAGCCCTCGGAATTCTCTATCTTGCTTTTTCACTGAAGTTTCGTTACAGTATTCCATTTTGACGAGCATATATTACATTAAAAAATGTTAAGAGTAACAACGTGTCTCTTCATTGCAGAGGTTATCTAACTACACCAAATTTAGAAGGAATAGAGTCATGGAAAATTAATGTAGTACATCTCTTGATATCAACAATGGTCAGCTTACCCTACAACCTGACAAGCTTTTTTCTGTATAAGCCAAAGAGATTTTAAATGGTCTGTTTTGCTGAATTTAATAGATGAATGTTCTAAATCCAGGTTTTTAATAGAAAGGTAATTTAGCAGGCTGTAGAGAAACCAGCACAGATCAGAGGCCTTACCTTTAAAATTTCATAGAGTAGCTTGGTGCTGGTTGATGTGTGCCTATTTTTCCAGCTCAGGAGACCAAGGCAGGATGATCATTTGAGCCCAGGAGGTTGAAGACAGACTGAACAATATAGTGAGACCTCATCTCAAACACCAGTATCTGTAGGAGGAAGAAACAGAACTTCATGGGATATACTCACCTTATGGTTTTGAGGATGATATACTCCCAGTGTTTATCAAATTAATAAGATGGTAATGGTTACTTGCCAAAGTGTCCTCCCTTTACAAATTTAAGATTACAAATTACAGATCTGCAAGTTAAATTTTTACAAGTAATTTATTTATCTTTATTTTATTTGTATTGGTATTAAGGTGTCAGATCCCCTGAAACCAGAGTTATTGTCAGTTATGAGCTGCTATGTGGGTGCTGGGAGTTGAATCCAGGTTCTCCGGAGGAGCAGTCAGTGCTCTTAACCTCTGAGTCATCTCTCCAACCCTGCAAATAAATTTTAAGTAAAACGACCAATATAGCTTTGATCCAAAAGTAGTATTTTTTGTGTGTTGAATTCTGTCTTCATCTTTTTGTAGACAGTATAATTTTGAACATGTTACTTAGCTTTTCCCTGCCTTACTTACTTGTAAAATGGGCTCAATAATAACTATGCTTACACAGTAGGTTTGTATGAAGCTAAAATTAAGACTGACTAAATTCCTCATGTGAAATAAATGCATAAGTTACCCCAGGGTACAGCTTGTCCAGAGAATGTCTCTTTAGATAGAAAAAGCCATACCCACTTACGGTGGACCTTTTTGGCGAGATACCCTGCTGGGCAGGTTCTCAAGAGGAAAGTCTTCTATGTTTGTGTGTAGCCCGAGAGGCCAGCTCCTTAGGAGAGAATGGGCTGGCTTTGTAGCCTAGTAAAACTAAGAGTACAAGGATGCTGAAGTGTAATTATGTGGGAGATCAGCAGGATAGGCCAGCAAGGTCGGAAGACAAAGCTAAAGGGATGGAAAAACAGTTGATGAAGGTAATTAAAACTCTTGGAGGTATTGAAATGGAACTTTCTGGCTGTTCTTATATTTAGGATGCATACTGTGGCAGAAAATTATGTCAGACAAGACCAGAAACAAGGAAATGCCTTTGGTGGCCAGTAGTCATTTTTATTTTTAAGTCATAGATGTTATATGATGTATGTGATTTCACAATGAAAATATATAGACTCATATTTTATTTAAAAATCTGCTTTTTTCTCTCATGCAGTATTAATTTAATAAAATTATATTTAAATTTCTAATTAGAGACTGTTTCTTCTTTTGGCACATGACCTCTTTGCATGACAAAAGGATTTATCACACATTTCCATTAAATAACCCCTTTCCTTCATGTATTACCTGTCATCTAATGTGGGAAACACATCCTTTCCTTAAGCAAATTTAAAATGAAATAATACAAACATATTACCTGCAAGGTTTACTTTGTTGGTTTTATAGCTGCTGGGCCCTCCCTAAGTCATAGAAGTATTCACACCCAGGGTAGCATACTAGCCTGAAGCTCTAAGTCCCCCCTTATAAGTCATAGAAGTACTCACACCCAGAGTAGCATACTAGCCTGAAGCTCTAAGTCCCCCCTTATACGTACACACTGACAGTGAAAATAATGGCTTATGAAGAAAAAGTTTGATAGACTAATTGTCGTTTTTTTTTTCTTCAAATCTGTGTCTTTAACAATTATTTGGCCCTTGGTATATAGATTTTTGGTTGGTTGAGTTTTCAGTTATTTGAGCTTTTTAGTAAAATAGTTTTAGTAATTAATTGAACAAATATCTATCAGATAAAGTTTAATAAGTTCTTGCTTTACTATCACTTGCTTTGAGAATCTGTTTTTAAATATAGTAGAAATGAAGTTTTGAACTTTGGTGTGTTTATTCTATCCATGTAAATGATGTTTTCTTATTTTATCTGCACAAACAAAATTACTGTTATTTTAACACCCTCCTAATCTGAAGCACTGAACTACTGTGACCTTGTATATACTTTAAACTATATTAGTAATGAATGAATAATGAGCAAGTTTTTTTCTATAAACCAGAATGGGGAGACTGTAGAATGGTAGAAGTACCCTTTAAAGTTCATAACTGTTTGTAATTACAACTGTTTGGTTAATACAAATTAATTCCCTTCAAATAAATATTTTTGTCATGTGAAATTGGATTTCTATAAGTTGTTGCTGGATGGTTACTTCATAAATAATAATAAAAACTATGCATATATAAGCTTGAGCTTCAGAAACTGGTTTTAAGATTCTCAAGTAAATAATAAAGTTTTTTGATGGCACACAGATACACTAATTTTTAATTTGTCTCTTATATCTTAATTAATGGAAAAGATTTATTGGTTAATTTTAGGGAGGCAAGTGTTGGAAAAGTTTTGCCAAATACCATCTTCTTTAAATGACTGTATGGTAATGGAAGTTAAGAAGAGAGCCAATTTAGATTGAGTAATTGTTCAGTCATGTGGGTCAGGCTAGCTGCATAGCGTGGTTGTTAGACTGATTGCTCAAATTACATTGCCTGGGGTCCTGCACTTGGTTGGCTGTCTTCTCAGATCTTAACAAGGTTCTGGGAATTTCTCTTTCTGACAAAGTTTGCTTTGTATTTTCCCCTCCCCCTACCAACCCAGGATGCTTCATCTGCAGACATCAGAAAAGCATATCGTAAGCTTTCACTAACCTTACATCCAGACAAGAATAAAGATGAAAATGCAGAAACTCAGTTTAGACAAGTAAGTGAAACACAATTTTATTATAGTAACAGCTGTATTAAATGCTTATGCTAGAAATATGAACTTACATGTAAAATATTTTCATTTGAACATGAAATTTAAATATATAAATACTTTTTCACCAACATTTTGTGTGATTTGGAGTTTCTTAGTTGTTGGAGGGTCATGGTTGTCATAATTTTCTTGTCTAAATTATGCTCTTAACTCTTAAAATATTTTTAAGGTAAACTATTACTTTTACACCTTTCACAAAAAATTCATTTTGATACCAGTTTTTAAAACTGCTTCCAAAATCCAAATGTTACTTATAACTGGATTTTTACTGTTTATTGCATAGATGGGCACATGGGGTTTTGTGCATGTGCGTTATAGAGCTTTCATCCTCCTATGTGATGACTTGCAGTTGAAAGTATTTTTATTTTAAAGTAATGCTTTTGTTTTAGTTGGTGGCCATTTATGAAGTTTTAAAGGATGATGAAAGAAGGCAGAGGTGAGTGCTCATTTGTGCTTTTGCGTTTGGATGGGCAAGTTTCATGCAACAGCTTTTAAAAGTCCTATTTAGGTTAGTTTTTGTTTGTTTGTTTCCAGAAATTCATTGTTTTACAGTTTTGTGTAGAGCAGAGCTCATTTCTTTTGAACCTGTTTCCTAGGCTGATTCACAACTTACAGACTAGGATCATGAGTCATAAAGTTAGCCAGTTTTGCTTCATTAGAACAAACTTTTAATATGGGTGTTTATGCCCTGGGAAACAATTAGGAGTACTTGATTTCAACCGAATTACCCATTCTTTGCACTGTATCATAAACAGCTCCTCTCTGTGTTCTGTGGACCCACTACCCTTAGGACCAGTTGTTAAGTGTTTGAGATTATCATTTAAGTCATCACATAAGTGTACTTTCCTGATGTTTCTTCACCCCAACTCTTCTTTTCTCACATTTGTTTTGCCTTCTTCCCCAAGTCTTCTCCAGTAACGGTGTATCTGGTAACCTTAGAGTAGAGGCAGTCGCTCACGCAGACCTATCTCGTCCCTTCAGAAGAGCAGTGATAAACTCTAGTGGTTTGTAGTGTCAGTGACTCAGGAGAGCACAGGCCTTTCCTCTGCTCTAGAATTCCGTGGAATATGGGTACAGTGTGAGATCCTTGGAGACCTTAGAATCAGATCCATGGACGAAACACGTTTTAAATTATCCCTTTGGATACATACAACAAAAGCTTTTCAAAAAAACTATTGCAGGTGAAATAAACTGCTTTTTTGTTTGTTTGTTTGTTTGTTTGTTTGTTTGTTTTATTTTGGGCTCAGTAGTCTTTGGTTGGAGTCCAACAAGTTGCTTTCATGAGACAGTAGTGGACAGCATTGGAAATTTGATAGTGTTGTCTTAAAGGAGATAGCCACATATTTGAGATTTAAGCTAATGCAAGCATGAATACTTGATACGTTTATGTGACTAACACACAAACCCCAGAATTACATTATGTGACATTCTGAACTTTTCTTCAAATGTATGGTCTGGAATAATTCTACACCTTGTTGTAAAGCCTGGGATTCTAGTACTCTTCTGAAGTCCTTTGCTCTGTAACAAGAACTGCCTGGTGTTGGTCTAGACATACCTCTAGTTTAGGTAGTCTGTCCTGCTGAAGAAGCTTGGTCCCTCTGTGGACTTACTCCAGGAGATTTTCTTTAGTGAACCCCCAGTTTTGTTTCACACATCAAGAGTGTGTTGTAAAGATAGCTAGCTTTATTCTTCCAATATCTTTGCCATCAGATTTTCTCTTTTTGCTGGTTGGTCTCTTAGAAGTCAGTAAACTTTATGTTAACTTCTTTTAATTACTAAAATCATTTCTGTCTTTAGACAGCAAATCACTTCTTACATATGCATTGTTTCTGTGTTAACATAGACTCATCTAACACAATCTCTTTAGGAATAGTAGAAAAAAATGGACCTGACAGTTACACAAACATGTATAGTATTTCCCCTTGAGGCACAAGTAACTCTTTGGTAACTGGTTTTCCTTGAGGCAAAAGTCTTAACTAATGAAGCTGAGAATCACTCCTATAAAGCTTGTGCCTGAGGCCAGGTGACCTGTGAGCATTTAGACATATAGGAGAAAGACAAGTGTGCAGATCTTTTCAGTAAGTTCCCAATTCCTTACAAAGGAAAGAATAGTCAGCTTCATTTTCTAAAAGACCATCCCATATAACTCTCACAAAATAAAATTTGCCAACCCAATTGCTTATCATAAATAGTCATTGAGCAAGTGTTTTAAGAGTGACCTAGGCATGAACAATTTGGAAAGTTACCATAGAAGTGTTTGTTGTTTATTCTCCAGACATGTAATTATGTTTTCATTGAAATTAGAAGCATTGTTTGAATTTGGTAGGAAAGAGAATAGAAATACTATAAATATGTTAACATATGAAATAGCTTTTTTTTCTTCTTCAGAAAAAGACAGATTTTATTTTCTTTTGTAATGGCCTCATTTAGGAATAAATTGCATATTATGAAAATCACATGCTGTAAGTGTACAGTCCAATGATGTGTAATAGCTGCAGAGTTGGACATACTGTCTGAACGACCCAGTCTTTAAACATTTTCATCCTTAAAAAATAAAATGTATCCCAAGTCCATCCATAGGCAATTCCTGCTGAGTTCCAGCCCTAGGCAGTCACAGATCTGTTCTTATCAATTTGTATTTTCTGTTCATTTCATAGTAACAGAAATATGCGTTATATAGTATGTCACATAATGTTTTTAATTTTATTCATATTGTACTACATTCTAGTACTTTATTCTTGTTTATTTCTGAGCACTATTCTACTGTGTGGATAATTTTGTTTATTCACTCACCATTTGAGAGACCTGTAGCTTTAACATTTTGTTCTGAATATGCTTTGAACATTTTCATGAAAGTCCTTGTAGCCACAAGAGTTTCATTTCTTAGGTAGATTCCTAGAAGAACATTTGAACACTTTAACTTGTCCGTTCCCCAAAGGCGTAGATGATAGCATGAAATTGATTGATTTTCCTGGTGAATGTAAGAATTCCTTGCACAGAATTTTTCCCTGAACTCCATACAAATTTGGTCATTTGAAGGACAGCATAAATTTCTACACAAGTTCCCAAAGAGTTTATCTAAATTTCTGAAAACTATTTATTACACTAGGTTGAACTTAGATAATACTAACTTGCATACTTCTGTTTTAAACATATTATAAATTTAACTAGTATTTATTACCTCTCCTTCCTTCCTTCCTCCCTTCCTTCCTTCCTTCCTTCCTTTCCCTCTCTCCCTCTCTCTCTCTCTTTTTCTTTCTTTTTGTATTTTTTGTGTTTGTTTTTGAGACAATTTTTTAATTCACCAAAGAAAATCATGTCTTATGTACAGATGCAGCTTAAAATGTAACATTAAGTTTAAATCTACTAAAACTTTTATAAATGCATTACAAAGTTACTCTAAATTTCATTATAGGTCTGAGAATAAGAAATCTAATTTAACTTTCCCTAAATTGAATGTGTACGACACATAAGCATTATGTAAAATGCTATGTACCATGATAGATTTGCCAAATAGACACATACGCATGTGAAATTAGTTAAGATCAGTTAATTTAGTGTTCTTTCTTGTTTGTAATCTCTATACAGCTAAGTTTTACTGGAAGGCTTAAAAATCTGACCTAAGATGGAAATTATGTTATTTTTTAAACTAAAAAATCAGATTCTGTATAATAGGAAATTCAATTTTGACAAATGCTAGAATTATTTATTCATGTTTTACTATTCAGATTTTCATTTTGATTTTGTTTCATTTTAAATTAATGTAAATATTTTCTGCTGGTAGTTTAAGATTGCTTTAAATTTGTTCTTTGGTAGTTCTAGGAGGCAGGTGTGTGATGAATTGCAATTCTAGTGTGGAACATGCTAATGATTTTGCAACTGTTATTTTATGTTTATCAAATGTATTTAAGAAAATCTAATGAAGCAAATGTGCATTAGACCATATGTTGGATATGTGGGACTGATCAATTAGTGCTTTAAATTTCAAGAAATGCCTTTGTAATTCCATGTCAGCTTTTATTTGTGTGTGTTACTGACTGTTTATGGTAGAGATTTGCTTCTTTCTAACTTGTAGCACATTTATTCATTTGTGCATTCTTAATCTGGTTTAAATGCAGACTTAAAAATAGTTTGTATCCATCTCAGCTACAGAGCATTTAAGCGTTATATGTTTAAATATGGGAACACATAATAAAGTTGTAAATTTTGTGTTGTCAACACATTTTTTCCTTAAATAACTTACGGGTATCTGTGTATATTTTAAGAACTATACTTGTCTTTTCAGTGTCCCATCAGGAAGGTAGTAATTTATCTTTTAGCAACATACATTCTAAAAAGTGAACTATAATAGAATCTATCTTCCTTTCTAATGGCCAGTTGTGTGAGCCATAATGTTCATTGGAGTAAAATCAATAGAGCATTGACTAGATGCTTAATCCCTGGACACTGTTTTCCAGAGTGTCAGGCACAGCCGACTAAATATCTGCTGTTTCATGTATTCTGTTCATTTATATGTGTGATAGAAAAGTAGTACCTTTTCCCAGTGATGGTGATGAGATATTTGGCAGTTTTGAGTGCAGCTGTATTTTCTTCTGCTACTCTTTAGGTCTAAACAGACTTAATATTTGTACTAATGCTAATAAGGAACCAACAACACATTCTCAAATACTTTTTACTGATAAATATACCTTTTAGAAGTTACTTCAGTAGAGATATTTCTAAAAATAATGATTTTTTTCATTCATCTTTATTTCTCTCAAGAAATATGATATAGAACAGAATTCAGGATAAATGTGGGACCTCTAATGGTCACTGACCCTCATTTGAGTATTGTGATCTTCTTGCATATTAACTGAAACCCTTTTACCTAGGTCTAAATTAACCAGTTTGTAAAAGATAGACTGAAACAAAATTCTGAAGACAGAATAAATTTTCTAGGACACCATAATATTATATTGTGAAGATAATATTTAAGGAATGGTAAAAATGCTGGAAAAGGAGAGTATTTAACATCAAATTTTGCCTGACACTGCCACCACAGAACCATATTGTAATTTCACGTTTTAAATATCCTTTCATTTACTACTCAGATACTCTGATCTAGTAGTATTAATAATTAAAGTTGATTTAAAAGTCAGGTTTTTAAAGATTGACTAATAAATTACAATTTACATTAGTAACCAATGTTTTTATACTGAAAAAAGTTTTCTATAATAAACTCTCTGCTTTATATTTTTAGCATATCTCCAAGGTATCAATTTAATAACTATCAAAGTAGCTACTGCAGTTGTTGCATTTAAATTGATTTACATGTCAAGACTGGCAGTTTAGCAGCTGCGCTATTATTCCTAGATCAGTCAATTTACTTGAGAAAAACCTACTACTGAGCTCTGCTGACCTGCCTGACAATATAGGTCCTATTTCTATTCCTGTAATTAGGCCTGCGACTAACTCAGAATATTTTTAATTAAAATATTTTGGTCAATGTGTTGCACCAAATTAGGCCTTTCAGTGGAGGTTTAATTCTAGAAATAGTGTGATTAGAATATTTAATGAGTTGTGTTCAATTAAGATTAACAGGTTGTCTGTATTGAACATACAGTATGTGTGATCATTTTGAGTTTCACAATCATAAAGTTACTCCTTATTTTTAGCCTTAAAGATATTTGCTCAATAACTGAGAAATACATTTAAATGCAGTCAAATTTTTATTTCTCTTTTAGCCTGATAATACTAAGGATGATTATTTAAATCTATAAGGAAAGCTGTTATGTATTAATAATGTTCTCCCCTTCCAGCAAAAGCCACAAATGAGTAAATTGCTACTTAAGGTTTACAAATAAGCAGTTTTATTGTGAACTCTGAAATTTGTTATTTTCATGTCCTTTTCTAATTTGTGATCTTTTTGTTCTTAAAGGAAAATGAGCTCTGCAAAATCATAGGCACTCATTTTATTTATGTCATTAAGAAGCTTTAATAAAACAATGTGTATGGATATTCAACTACTGTTATCATGATGGTAGAAATAAAAGTATAAATATATGCTGAGCTTGATTCAATTAATATGTAATTCATTCAAATAATACATAATTCAAATAGCTCTGATTTGATTTAGTTTTATTTCCTCTATGAGAGCCTAACTTTTGTTACTGATTCTGTGGCAAAGAATTTTCTACAGACAGTGTAGACAGGTATGCATGTCACTCTAGTAGTCATATAACTGGGTACTATAAATCTGAGCTCTGGTGTCCAGTGTTGTTAATACTGTGGGCCTTCCTGAAGACAGTTGCTGAAGCCATGTAACCATGATTTAAATTTACTAGGCACTGGGATGCTGGGAAATTATAGTTGTTACCTCTGAAGAGAATTTTTTTTCTTTTTAAATATAGGTGCAGATGAAGTTTTTCTTTAGCTTTGCTTTGATTTTGCTATATTATACTCTCCATTAAAAAGGTGTTATATTTGCTACCACAGGTATGATGATATTCTAATCAATGGACTTCCAGATTGGCGACAGCCAGTATTCTACTACAGGCGAGTGAGAAAAATGAGCAATGCTGAGCTAGCACTACTCCTGTTCATTATTCTCACAGTGGGTCATTATGCTGTGGTTTGGTCAATCTACCTGGAAAAACAACTGGTAAGTATTGGTGATAAATCAAATGGCCTAGCTTCCTTTATTTTATATAGAATTCTAGACATCTATATCTCAAGTGATGGAAATTTCTATTGTTCTACATGTTCTCTGTATTCTAATAGTTGTACTGTCTCTAGTTACTTTTTGATTCATTTTTATGCCAAGGAAAGCATATGAATATTTCTAAATCTTTCTTCTAAAAAAATACGGCATTTGGGTTTATAATAGAACTTTGTAAAGTGGGGCCATATTCTCCTAATTATCAACTTCTAAGTAGAATTTTTTAACGTAATTGATGAGAAATTTTTGTCATAGACTTCTTGTATAATGTATTTACTTTAAAAACATAAAGTAAGATTTAAAGTGGATACGTATTATAACTTCAAGGATCAGTTTATTAAAGGATCTATTACACTTCCTCAGTCTAATATGCAATATAGTTTATTCTGCTATGGATTTTTCTTATATGCTATAAATAATTTAAAACATTCATGAATTATCATTTACTCATTCTTTTTTAAGTAGCACTATTAAAGGTGCATGAATAATAAAAAGTAAGTTGAATGCTTTCTCTTCCTAGAAAACTTTGAATGCATGGGGATGCACATGACTGACAGTGCTGAATTTCATGTGTCTGTAAGGCTGGATACCATGGCAACAGTGATTGTGAAAGATTGATGATTTTACTTGATCATGTTGGACTCCACATACATTTGCATAAATGTTCTAGTGTTTTCTCTTTATGAAAGAATCTTTATAGCATCTGAGGTATACATGTTAAAGACAATCAGTTACTGTCATTCTTTTCATGATAAGGATGAACTGCTTGGTAGAAAAAAGAGAGAAAAGAAGAAGAAGACAGGAAGCAAGAGTATGGATGCAGCAAAACTTGGTACTTCTGAAAAAAATGAAAGGTAGGGGTGCACAAAATAGTATGTAGTTTAATATAGCTCTCCTTAATGTGTTTATCCACTTCAGATATGCTGTCACATGTGTCTTAGGTATAGGCATGAATGTGCCATAATTTACAAAACAAATTCTAAGCAAAATTCTTGAAAGTTTTCTTATAAAGTGTTCAGCTATATCTAAATAGTATTAACCTCTTGTTAATACTATTGTAGTTTGCAGTTTGCAATTTTTTTTACTGAACTTTTGAAACAGAGTGCTAATAGGATAATCTGTCTCTGTTCATGATTGACAATAAGCAGAGAGGACGTGAGTGATAGCAGAACACTCACAAAGATACCACACTTTTTTCATTGGTTCATAACAGAAATAAAGGGTTTAGTTCACACAGCAGGACAGGAATTGAATCAGTGTGGGATGGAGATCAGAGACCATTCTGCTTGTCTTCTTTTTGTTTGTTTGTTTGTTTTGTTTTGTTTTTCAAGACGGTTTCTCTGTGTAGTAATGGTTGTCCTGGAACTCACTTTGTAGTCCATGATGGCCTCAAACTCAGAGATTTGCCTGCCTCTGCCTCCCAAATGCTGGGACTAAAGGCATGCACTATTGCTGCCTGACCTCTGCTTGTCTTGTCTTAATGACATCAGTGAGTAATGCTTCAGCAAACTACAAATGTCATTAATTTTTATGCTTTATTTTGTTTATGTTGCCATATTGGTAGCTACATGTCAGCATTTGAGAGCACTTTGGCAATGACTAGTCTTTTTTTTTTTTTTTTTTTTGGTTTTATGAGACAAGGTTTCTCTGTGTTGTTTTGGAGGCAGTCGGTCCAGCCTGGCCTCGAACTCACAGAGATCCGCCTGCCTCTGCCTCCTGAGTGCTGGGATTAAAGGCGTGCACCACCACCGCCTGGCAATGACTAGTCTTTTATAGCTGAAGTAATCATAAGGTTTAAGAATTCATTTTATGGTTTTTTTATTGAGAATTTCATACATTTATATAATATGTTTTGAGCAGATCTTCCCAACTCCTCCTCTCCAATTAGGTTTTTTTTTTCTTTTAATTTTTTATAACTTGATTAGAAACCTCTTTCCCCAAAATTTGTAAGTTGGAGTCTTGTACTTTATATATATTTATATCGTGTTTGCAACTACTGCATTTCATAGTAGACTAAGTCAGATTAAATGATGACTATCATAAATATGTTACTGAAAACTTTTTTTAGTTTAAATTGACATTCAAAAGAGATTTAATAATTGCATAAAGTGTTTTTTTTTCTCAATTTTGTCTATTTTTCTGATTTGTTACTTGGTTTCTCCCCTCTTTTAGATTGCTAGTAAAACCACAATGGCATGATTTGCTTCCATGCAAACTGGGAATTTGGTTTTGCCTTACACTAAAAGCATTGCCTCATCTAATCCAGGTAAAATGTACTTCATTCATAGAATATTAGATGCTTTCATTTTTAATTATTCATGAAACAATTTATAACCATGCCTGCTATTTGAATGTTGATATATAGCATATGCTTCATAATTTGGATTGGATAATATATGTTCATTACCCCTAACTTAGAATTGTTCTGAGATTATTTAGGCACCTATTCCTATAATTATATCTTATGTTGCGTTTTGAAGTCTAAGACACTGGAAAAAGGAAAATGATAAACTATCTTTATGAAATACATAAAAGCAGTAAGAATTGATTTAATCTGATGTATTCTTAAAGGTATAACTAATAAAAAGGAACAAGATTTAATGAACTTATCCATTATAATAGTATTTGATACGTTTTAAAGAAAAATCTTTACATGTACATATATTTTATATATATATTTTATATACATATATATGTATATATATGTTTCCATTTTATTTGTAGTTTCAAGAAGAGTGGGGACATTTTGTTTTCTACTATTAATCAAAATTTTTGTTTCAGGTTAGCCCTGAAACTACTAGGAGGACATATGTTGATAGTTCATTTTTTTTTCTTTGTATTTAGCGTATCAATCATATTTTATGAAATTATTCCTTTGCTAATCTTAGTTATTATGCCCAGCTTGTTTTCCAATAGGTAGCCATACTATTTAAAAATAAAAGAATACTCTTTAGTGTTAAATTTTGAGGTTTGATAATAGCATTTGGGGTTAAGATTATAACTTTGGAGGAGAGATGTTTCATTTCAAAAAAGTATAAGACAGAGCCATCTCTGCCCATTGTACTACATATAGCAGAACTAGTTTTTTAATCCTTTTACAGAAACTAGTTATTCTGTATTTTATTTTCTTTTTTCTGCTTTTGGTGAATTTTTTTTGTCCAAAGGGAAAATAGAACAAAAGTTCCTAGTATGCCTTTTTCTATCCTTGAGAAATTGTTTAGTAGTTTTTCCATAAGTGTAATTCATGCTAATAGTCATTGATTATAGAATCTTAGGTTTTGCTTATATTTGATAAACACTTTTAGTTATTTGACCTGTTTCAGATATTTTTATACTATGTCAGTACCAGTTAATAAGAAAGAGGAAAACTATATTTACCAAACAATGTTTATGAGAACATGTGACAGAAAAATGTCTTCAGGTCAAATTTTTGCCTTAAAAAATCTTTTTTTCTTATTAGCAATTTTAGAATCTTTGAAGAAGGCAATCTACAGTATTGATTCTTTGGGAATTTCACATCATCTCCTAGCCCTTCCATGTCTACTCTCAACCTTGTAGCATCACCCAAAAAAAGAAAAAATAAAGGGAAGAAAACCCACTTCACTGTTCTCTCTTTCCTGCCTCTCCTTCACATGTCCGTTTGTCATACTGGCTTGGGAGCTGTGGTGTGTCACACAGTGTACCCTCTTGTCCAAACAGCTTTACCTGCAGATGTTCATTGCAATGAGTTGTTGGTCTGGTTCAAGACCTCTGGCTTCTGGTACACCATCAATCCTCACCAAAAGTCCTCTCAGATATCCTGCTGTTGCCCTGAGTCATGGAGAACTTGGGGCTATGGTTCCAACCGGTCCCTTCACGAATTCCAGCAGGTTATAGAAGGGGTAGATGTTACGATGGGTTAACTCAAAGCCCTGGATGTGGGCCTGGCTGGTAGCTGAGTTTGGTCAGTCTCTACTGGAACCACCCTCCTTAGGCAAGGGTCAGGACCAGCTCTCCTATAGGATGGTGAGGGGTGAGACCTGCTCTCCTGTTGTGGCAGCCAGTGAGGATAATTTTCCTAGGATTGTCAAGGGTCTCAGGGCCATCTCTCCCACTCCCAATACACTTGGGCCAGTTTTCCCAGCAGGGGGACATCTCTCTCTCTGAAGGCAGCATGGCATGGGGCAGGGTCAACACACTAGTGGCCTCTGGTGTCTGGTGATAACAAGGACCACCGACATCAACACAGACCCTTGCTGTGGTAGAGTCTCAGACCCAGACATGGCCCTCAGTTGCAGCTCAGGCCTGAACATCACTATGGCCTCAGGTGACAGTGTAGTCTGCCCATGTTAGCTTGTTCCTCACCGCCATTGAGTCTTTAGTTCCTCTTCTCTCTACAGTGCAGTGGTGCCTGGCACCTGGGCTGCTAGGCACCAAGCAGGCCAGTGGCCTTATTATAAAGTTTTACAAACAACCTTTCTGTCTCTCCAGAACAGTGGTTCTCATGACCTTTTCACAGGGTCACATATCAGATGTCCTGCATATCAGTTATTTACATTGTGATGCATAACTAGCAAAATTACAGTTATGAACTAGCAAAAAAAATAATTTTATGAAGTTGGGGTTACCACAACATGAGGAACTGTATTAAAGGGTCACAGCATTAGAAACTCTGCCCTAGAAACTCTGCACTCCTTAACTCTCAATCAGTTTGAATTTAAGATTTTAATGTTGAGTGTGGTTCCATTTGCCTTTCAACTTTTACAGAAACATTAGTATTCCAGACCCGTAAAAGCCTAAGTTTTTCATATTTCTTACGGATAAATATTGTAAGAAAGAAAATGAGGTAATTACCTTTGTAGATTGTAGCCTTTCCTTGCCAGCCGCTTTGGTTTTCCCCCCTGCCAGCCGTCTGACTCTGCCACAGTTGCAGTCCTCAAATAACACACAAGACGCTCTATTAATTATGAAGCTGTTGGCCATTTGCTTGTTTCTTACTGGCTAGCTCTGACTTAAGTATTTAACCCATAATTGTTAATTTAAGTATTTCTTTTTCTTTTCTTTTTTTTTTTTTTTTTTTTTTTTTTTGGTTTTTACGAGACAGGGTTTCTCTGTATTGTTTTGGGGGCTGGCGGTCCAGCCCGGCCTCGAACTCACAGAGGTCCGCCTGCCTCTGCCTCCCGAGTGCTGGGATTAAAGGCATGCGCCACCACCGCCCGGCTAATTTAAGTATTTCTTACCTGAGAAAGCATCCGGACTTCTTATTCCTCTAGAGGCTACATCGTGTCTGCCTGTGTCTCTCTTTCCCAGAATCCTCCTCAACTCCTAGTCCCACCTATCTTGCTTCCCTATTGGCCAACAATGCTTTATTGACATATACACAGGACTTCCCTCATCATCTTCTCTTTTCTGTCTAAATAAAAAGAAAGGTTTTAACTTTATCATAGTCAAATTATATATAATTGACATAAAAGAACAGTTATCAAGTAACAACATAGTTAAAATATTTTGTCCATTAACATTTAGTAAGATTTAAAGAAAATACCATCTATTGTACACAGGACTTCCCCATCATACGTTTTTTTTTTTTTAAGTGCTTAATATTTGAATTCTTCTTTTGGAACTTACAATTAGTTTTTCTGGTCATCAATAGCAATATAATTATTGTAATAGTTTAAGTACTTTATACTAAAAAACCTTAGGGTCTCAGAGATGGCTCATCTGATAAAAGCCAAGTAAGCCTGTTCCATTCCTGGATTCAAGTAAAAGTGAAGGGAGAGAACCAGCTCCATGTAGTTGTCCTGTGACCTCCACACATGTACTGTGACCCAAGTGTGTGTATGTGTGCACATGCATAGACACACACACACACATGGTTTTTTGTTTGTTTATTTGTTTTGTTTTAAGAAGAAAACATTAGCTTATGAAAGACACCAGTAAATGCTGAATAGTTGCTTTTAAAATTAGGTCATGGTCTGACTTCTTGTTTTCTATCTGTTGTGACCTTTGTGTTAATTCGTCATCCAAAAAATTGAATATTGTTGCATACACATGCCTTTTGACGACACTGGGATATCTCTATGAGATGTTCTTAAATAAGGTACTTGTAAAATTCAGAGGTAGTCACTTTAACTTGAAGAAGCCTCAATGATAATTGGCACAGTAGTCAGAAAAAAAAACCCTATTAACAACTTACATATAAAAATGATGTGTATGTAATTTATACATATAAAATTTTTCATATATATATACATATCTCAATTTTAGGCATGTACTGTATGCTTATTAACTACTCAGTAATTTAATGTTTACATAGGAACTGGCTCACCCATGGTCATTGCCCTCTTCTTGTATAAACCAAACCTATGATCAAGCTTTCTTTGACAGTGGATTTCTATCTTGATTTCTTTAAAGAGCCAAAACTAGACCTTTGTGAAGGAATATAAGTGTATAATCCTTTCAGATTTGATTTCCCTTTAGTCTTTCACATCAAGATATTGAATTTTACAAAGTATTACACTTGTTTTTATAGAAATCATACTGGTAGCCTACTCTTATCTTTCTTACACAATATTTTTGAATCATGTACTGTAATACCAAGGTTGACTAACGCAAATCTAAGTGCTTACAGAGCCCCTTATAAGTACTCAGTAAATTAGTTAAGTAGTCATCAGTTAAGAGAACTTTACTTTTGGTGTAAAACTCTTAAATTTCCTGAATAGTTACTTAATACTGGGTTGCAAAGTATGTGGAAATGGAAGATGTATGGGCTTCTAGCAAGTGGACTTCACACAGGCAGAATCTGAACCCACTGAACCCAGCTCTTGTCCCAACTTCCTTCTCATCCATCATATACATACTAATTCCTTTACTACACTTCATATATATCTAAAATTTTCCAACAGAATTGGGAACAGTGATATTTTGCTGTTTTTAATCTGAAGTTCTCTTTTATTGTTTAGCATCAGAGATTCCTTAAGAGACTACTTATTGCCTATTTAATTTGTCTAAATACTTTTCTGTCTCTCATTCCCAGAAATCCAAATGAGAAGAGTTACATAAAAATTTAATATGCAAATCTCCTTTTGGTCATTTACTGAAAAATAAATCAGCCAATTTAACAAAAATATGGTAAGCACATATAAAAACAAGGCATACTGTAATGAATATGCCTTCTATAACTTGCCAACCAGTTATAGCACATGAATACAGATACCAGATCAATAGGTTAGTTAAACTTCAAATATGTAGCATCCACTGGCTGCAGTGTCAGTTGTATGTATTTAG